TAAGCAGTTTGTAAATAATAATTTTTCATTATAATGATAGCCGAATTTCTGACAGAAAATTGTCAATATCTGAACATAGGCAGTATGATTTTGCTAAAGAAAATTTCTTGAATTTTTCTTAGTTTGTTTTTGACTCATATCATGGTTTGATACTAACATTATTTGTTTCGAATGTTTTTTCAAAATCCAGTGTCATACTCATTTTAAGGTTTAGAAAAATTATCAAATTATTTCTGTATTTTTAAAAGTAATTCTCTAATAAAAAATGCCCAAGAGAAACATACCTTAAATGTTCTTAAAATGAAATAAGAAAAAAAATAAATCCTTTGTAATGAAATAAAAATATTAATCTGAGACATGGTTTATATTCTGAAATTTCATATAACATACAATTGTATTTAAACAGTTGAAAAAATGAGATGCAATTTGCATTCAAATTTGAAATTAATATGAAGATCTAAAATAGCAAAAGACTAAAGAAAGGAAAATTATTTTGATACATGTGCACCGTCAAACATAGTTCATAAATAAACTTCCACAAACTATGTAAAATTATTTTCTCTAGCAACTGTGTTCATAATATTTTCATAAACTTTAAAGCCTGCTACAATTGCCAAAGAATTGGAGTTTTTTTTCTTCTTCTGAATTTCCTTTTTATTGAGATGTTTCTCAAATTTTCTATTAATTTCCTTTTTTATTTTGAAATTTCTTTGTTAAAAAGCATGCATTTTAATTTTTTTTAAAATTTTTTTATTAATTTATTTCTTATAGGCTAACATTAGATTACTAAAAATTGCATTTTATAAATTAATTAGAAGAATATTAAACGCCACAAATATTGACACAGTATTTAAATTAATTTTATTTTAAGTATTTCAAAAATTGCTCATTTCTTGAAAAAAAAAGGGAAAATAAAGGCATTTAACATTCATTTTAAAAACGAAAAAAAGTTTGGTTTTCTATAATAACAATAATGTATTATAAAGTTATTAATTTAAATTAAATCTTTTGGGAACAAAAAAAAAGTTAAAGAATATTCATATCACATTATGTATAAGAAGAAAGCTTATTATAGCTTTGCATGGATTTGAATTGGCATAAGTGCAACAATACATTAATAGTTATTATGCATAATCTTGAAAGTTATCTGTTTATATAAATTTATTACAAATAACATTTAAACTGGTTGCTTTTACAATTACGTAACAAAGTATTTCTTTTCCTCTATTATTAGAGGGTCTTCTTGATTTTAAGTGCCATTTTAGTGTGTGTGATGCGTCTCTTTGTTTTTAGCAACATTGTGAAAATGTCTATTAAAAAAATCTAAAAAAAAATTTCTATAAGAAGAGCATATGTAATAAATAATTTGTACATGTTTTACATATAAATGTGCATGCTTTAAATGAATGATGTTTGATGTTAAATGCATTTGTTGAATTCCATGCCAACTGAAACCAGTAGTGAATTTTTAAAATTTACGCACTATCCTTGTATTTGGTATCATTTTAAAGGAAATTTGTAGTAATTTATGAATTCAGAAGTTTTTTTTTGAAGTTATGCATGATTATAGTAAAATTTATCATAAATAGAGAGCATTCATAATCTTAATTTATTCTACCAAAATAAACTGTCTATTTTAAAGAAGAATAAGTTATTAAAAATATTACTATTTTACATGTAGTTTGATTTATATTGTAAAATATATTCTTCCTGAGTCTAATTATGCAGTGATTTCAAAAAGGTTTTTTTCCTTTTTTTTAAGTCAAAAATTATCTCAAATATATACTGTCTGCTCTGTTACAATTATTCTTTAAAGTTTACTTTATTCATGACACAAAAAACTTAAAACAACTTAATATTTGTTTTTTACAGTAAAGTCTATTAGTAAAATCCTGTTATGTTATATTTGTGAAGAAAATTTTTTTTAACATTTTAAAGTTTCCTATATAATAGAAGGGATGTAACAGAGTGGACGAAACTAAATGTCCCCTCAGTTACACAAAATTTATTGGTTGACTATTAAAAAGGAACTCTAGAAATGTAAACAAGTGCTAATGCATCCTGATTAAACTAGTTTAAACTAGTTCCTCCACTATTAGAACACAATTTTTAGACAAAGCTGTGCCATTTTTATTTGATAGTGAGTTTAGTTTATAGTTAAAAGTTTTTTAAGTCAGTAGTCAAAATGAGAGAAAACAGCAACAGAAAGAATGAGGGAATATAGAATAGAATGTTAAAAAAGGACCGATATTGTCAGAAGAAAGATTAAGAATATAAAACAAAAATTTATGATAACAGAAGTATTTTGAAAAAAAAAACCTTACCAGAGAAATAGTTAAATTGAAAAAAAATAAGACAAAGGGAAAATAAAAAGGCACTAATACAAGCAGTGGAAATTCAGGAAGGATATTCTATTTATAATATTCCTTAAACATTGGGGAAAACTATTAAAAAAGCCAATCGTGCATTACCTGCATCTCCAAAAAAAAAAAANGACAGAGCGAGACTCCATCTCAAAAAAAAAAAAAAAAAAATTTTTTTTACTGTTCGCATATTTTGGAACCTTTTAAAAAAAAACAAAGGAAATAGCCTATAGTAACAGAGTATCTGATGAAACGAAACAAAAAAAAACTTTTAATAAATTTCTACTCATCTGGTAGGCTTTCTAACCAGATTTATGGTAGAGCTGAGTGCATGACTGTCAAATAAAATGGATATAAAGTCCACAAAGCCAAATGTTTACCTTGATGGAACCATATCAAGTTTCAAAGCAGATGCATCCAAACTTAAAAATTGGCAAATTTAAGTTTGCTGTGCTACGACCTATCTATATTTAATGAGTAGGCAAAACACCATATAATGAGTGCATGTAACGAAAATATGAATTCACTATTAAAATCATCGTTGTTTGCCTAATAATTACATAGAACTACTAAACATAGTTACTTGCTACAATCGTTCAATTGACTTTGTTTTATTACCGGCGTTGAACAGCCGATCCAAATTTGAGTTTACGGCTTCCAATGTTCAACTCTGTAGCCTTGTAATCTTGAACCCAATCCAAAAGACAAGGGAACTCCTCTATCAGTACCCCCCAAAGGTATTGATTTGTTTTGGAACTTGGAGGACTTTGTGATCTTATATATTTAACATGCACCAGTCACCATTTAAAACACTGGGATTCTTTTGATGTTGCAATAGATAGTTTTGCAAGTGCAAAAAGTTCAAGGAGAAACTAGGGTAGTTAATTTTGTTGCCCAAATAATTGAACAAAGAAAGAAATAAACAATGCACTGTTTTTAACATGGTCTGGTAAAGTAAAAGCTTTAAAATATAACTACAAAGATGTAGCACGGGTTTCAATATAGCAGTGCTGTCAACTCCAACTTTAAATAACCGAAGAGTCACTTTTAACAGTGATATTCCCCTTTTACTTTTTGTCAAATTTGTTACATATAATGTCCTCTATGTAACGATGCATTATTTGGACTTAAAAAAATGTGTTTGAAATTTTAAAAGTCAATTAATAATTTATTTTAACTTGAAATGTGATAATTTTTAAAAAAAATCCTGATAATGTTTAGGGTGGTCTAAATCACAGAATTTAGCATAAATAACAGTGCATGCCAAAAATGTGGGATATTATTTGTCCCCTCTGTTACAAGTACTTTTAATTAACTTGCAATTTAATTATGAGGATCTCTTATTATTTATGCCAATTAATTAAACATTGCACCCTAAAATATCATATTCTAGTAGAATTTTTGTTTTCAAATATATTTAATATATTTTTTAGAACAAAATACTTGTGTGATTTCCCCTCTGTTACGCTTGGAATTCAACATTTTATTAATTTGTAAAAATATGATAAAGATAGTAAACATNTCCTAACAAAATGAAAGATTGTCTGGATTTGAAAGTAATCAATTATACTTGAAAAAAGGAAACTTTGGAAAAATATGTTACAATAAAATGAAATATTTTTATTTGATTGCAATATGTAATGTTTATCTTAAATTACAGTTTAAATTTGAAACATTTTTTTTTAATTAAAGCTTTTATTAAGAATTTAACGAACAAATAATTAATTCTTAATTTCTTTAACTCTAAATGAAGAATTCATTAACTTAAAAATTAATAATTTAAATATAAATGTTAAGTTACTTGGCAAATTATCCTTCTCTCTCTTTTTTTACTTTCAACTTCAACTCAAGTGTGAGCATATGAAATGAAGATCTAAAGAGAGAGAGAAAATTGTCTACAACATAAATAAACAGTTAGTATTTAAAGCAAAAAGAATGAAAAATTTTGAAATGAAATTTTGAAAAGCATTTAAAATTGTAGTAAATTTTTGAACAAATTGCAATTTTGAAAAAAAAATTTAACTCAAGTTCATAAATAAATTGCTCCTTTCAACACGCAAAATTCAATTTTTTAGTTGCATACTTGAGGATTGCAAGTTGGTTCGTAGCGTATCTTTTACTTCAAGTATAACAGTTACTGATTTTCAAACTAGTTATCAAATGTAAAATTCCTTGTTAACTTGTATATTTTTTACACTCCTTTGTAAATTCAAGTTGCTAAATCTTATGGAATTTGTGCCATATTTTCATTTGATTGGAATGTGAGACACATAGAAATGTTTCCTCTGGCTACAAAAAGAAAGCGCTACAGTAAATTCTACCTCAATTCTTATTATTAAATTCTATTCTCAATTCTATCTATTTACTATGATTTCTACTAAAACTGCAGGATATCTGGTTATACGCTTAAACTTTTTATATGGATGTTAGCATCACTTCTTTTAGTTTTAATTAAAAAATGGATTTAAAATATATATTTTTTTAAAAAAAAGTTTTTAAATTTAAAAAGGAATATAAAATTTAAATTACACATTATTATGTCAACATATATGTATTTCAAATTATTTTCTCGAAATGGTTTTGACATTTTTTAATGTTATATTTAATGTTATAAACTTTTATTATTGTTTATTTTAGGTGAAAGGGAAGTTTGGTAAATTAGGTAAGGTAATTCAAACATTTATTTTGCATTGCTCTTAATTGCCTATGAATTGTGTCGTATTATATTAATTTTATTTCATTTCCAGGATGTTGTCTGTTCATTACCAGTTGAAGATGTTGTGTTATCAGAATCTAAAAAGCTGTTGATTAGACTGTGTAATGAAATCAATAGGTATTGTTTAAATACTGCTCCATTATGTTATTAATTATATTTATTTTAAGATATTGCCTTTATTGCTGTAGCTTTTTGCATTGGTTTTGTAATCAGTTTATTTTACTTATAATGTTTTAAATTTAGCGAGGCATTAATTTTTCCATTAAATCGTGAACTTCAGAAAATCAATGATTTATGTTCTGACAAAAATTTATTGGAATTCTGCTATTCTAAAATTTAAATTTTGTTCATCATCATTAATGGCTCGACAGCCCAGGGTGGACCTTAGCCTTCTCAAGAAGTTTTGTCTAGGCTAACCTTTTTCCTGCTAGCGTTTTCCAGTATATAGTTTTTGAGACGAAAAGTTTTTTTTTCTAGGCCATCTATCCATCTCAGATTTTCTAGATAGATTCCAAATTCTTAAGATAGATTCTAGATAAATACACAAGTGGGCGACCTTTGTGCTAAAATACAAACTAAGATAAACAACGATAAAGAGCACAAAAATATTGCAAAAATACTTCATCAGTGCAACACTGTTGCACTGATGAAGGTTGCCCTTTGAGCATCCGAAACAGCTGTCTGTATTTCATAAATATTTTTGTGCTCTTTATCGTTGTTTGCCTTAGTTTGTAGATTCTAGATAGACTATAATCTATCCATCTCGTGTGCCGACTGGTCTGGCATTGAAAACTCTTTTCGTGGTACGGTCTTCATCCATTCTGATAACATGTCCTGCTCATTTTATTCTTTGCTGTTTAATATAGTTAATAATGTCAGGTTCATTACATGATAGCTCTAGATTTGGTCTCGTGAGCCACACACCATTTTTTTGAATTCCTCGGTGAGAGGCCGACACATGAGGATGTTTTTTTCCTCTAATAGCATAAATTATTAAATTTTCTGCTAATTTTGGCCACTGGGGGCTGTTGTTTCTGTTTTCAGATCATTATTGTCATTTTTAATTGTGTAATAGATATTATTACTTCTATTACGACTTTGATTTATTATAAAATGAGTAGTCACTGAGGCTATTAAAGTTTTTTCATTTCCTTTTTTAATGTCCTTTGTTTCTTTCTCGTGTGAGTATGCAATACTGTTTAAGCTTAGCTGTAGTTGATTTTTCCGAATATTTTTTTTTCTTTTTGAAGCAGTACAAGCGTAAATGTTAAAAATATGCAGATGATAAGTACTGGGTGCATTTACATTTCTTGTATTTTGTATTTGTTATCAGTATAATGATTTAAAACCACAAACCAACAAAAGGGAAAGCTTTGTTTAATGCTGGTTGTCATTAAGATGGAATCATAAGAATCTAGAAACATGAGATACGATGTTTGGAAATGCGTGATTTTTAGAACACTTGGGTGCTGAGTTATTGTTTTTGAAGAGAAAGATCTGAGGTTTGGTTATTTAAAAGATTATAATTTTGAATTTTTTTTTTCTTTTGCAAAATTTGCTTGATCTTTAATAAGATAATTTATTTTTTTCATTATAAATTGAAGCGTCATATGTTTTTGCTAAAAATTTATTTTTGTAACCCTTGTTGAACAGCCAACCCAATTTTGGGTTTACGACTGCTAATATTCATTTCCGCAACCTTTTAATTTTGAACCCAATGCAGGAGACAAGGGAACTCATAGATCAAACATCGTGAGAAATTTACCGAGGTCTTTTTGATGGAACTAGCCCGTATTTGCTTTACATAGAGAGGAAAACCACGAAAACCTCCCATGGTTAGCCTGACGACAAGGGGACTCTTACCCCGAACCATTGCAGCTTGCTAAATAATTTTTGTATTTTTTGTGAAATATGAATACATACTTATTTTCTGCATCTTTGGTGTGTTTTATTATTAAAGAATTTACAAAATGATGATGCAAGAAAAATATTTATTCAAAAGCAAATAACAATTAGTTTTGTTTTAAAAAATATGCGTGATTTTCGTTTTCTAAAAATTTTTTTTAACCCTAAAGCTTATTTTCTCTTGCATTAATAATCATTTTTAATTTTATTCACTGTATAATGGAAGAATCTATTGTTCTTGAGTTGGCTCGAGTTCCAACTTGTTCTGATTGATACTTTATTGTAATCATGGTTAATTAAGAAAATTTCATAGGTACAACGGACAAGTAACAAAAATATATTACTAATTCATACACAATTTCAGTGGTCTATTTGCTTGTCTCTATTTGGATTTTTATTTTAAGTGAAAAACGTGAATGTTAAATGAAATATTATAAAATCATAGAATTTAGAGAATAAAAAGAAACAAATAAATGGAGAATAGAATATTTACAATATCGATAATAATATAATATGGACAATAATATAATATAGAATATGGACAATAATAGAATATGGAATCATCAGATGGAACTTCATTCCTCATTATGAAGAAATATGCTATTTTGTGACCAAAATTCATATAACCAAAATAGCGTACCATTCGGTAACATCAATTACTGGCCAAAGAAGTCATGGATTATTTATTTTATAATGGTCTGAATCAAATTTTAGCTGTTGTAGTTATTTAGTTAGAGTTAGTTTTGAGCTCTGGTTGTGATTTTTTCAATTTAAGATATCTTTCTGTTAATCCTAAATTGTTGACAATAACTTTGAATGTTAAAGATTTTTACCTTCTTCATTTTTTAATTGGAAACTCTGTTGCTTCTATGTTATCTCGAGCTCAGATTAATTTAAATTCTATATTAAAACTTTTTTTAGTTTAAAATAAAAAAATTTTAAATCATATTTTCACGTTTTAGTCAAATGTTTTCTCCTTTTATTGAAATAAAATTACTTTTCAGGTTCTCCTCATTCAGTGTTTGCTCCTTACTGGTCTAAAACTCTTCAAAAAATTTTTACGGTATGTAAAATGAATATATGTAGAATTTTTTTTCTTTGGTCTAATTATAGGGGTGCACAACGTGCGGCTTGCTGACTGTTGATGATTAACGAAAAACTTCCTGTATTTGATTGAAATATTTAGGGGAACTTTGAGAGATATCTAATTATTGTAGGGCACATATACCCATCGTCTGTACCCTGCCAACGACACCCAGGAATTCTAGTTTTATTTGAAACTTCTAAGAATTAAATAATTATCAAAATTTAGCTTAAATCAACGATCGAAACTTTTCTTTTATTTTCAGCAGAGGATAAGAATTTGAAAAGGCCTTATCAAAACTAGATAAATACTTTCGGATTATTTTTTTATCAAGACATGAAATGTCTCTAAAAATTTATTTATTGGTTTGATTTTTATTGTCAATTCATATTCATACTTAATTAATATTTTTTTCAGAAATGAGTGCATTATGTTTTAATGAAAATTATGTTGAAAATTATTTCACAAGTATTTATTTGTGCAAGGAAAGCAAGTTTGGGAAAGAAGATTTTTTTTGCTGGTTTAGGTATGTGTTTTTATTGTTTATTAAAATGTCTTAAAATGTTCCCTGATCCATGACTAATCAGTTTTTAAAAAAAAAAAAACATAAAAATTTTCCAAATTTTGTGTTATTTTTTCTATTTATATTATAGCAGTAACATACAAATTGAGAATCTGCTTTTAAAATAAATTTTTATTTTATGGGAATAACAATGATTTTTAACAACTTTGTTACTCATTGTTAACTTATATAGTAGGTAATTAGATACTTTTTTAATAAGTAAACAAATTTTAAAAAACATTGCACTTGCAAAAATTTGAAAACAAACTGTAAATTGATCACTTACTGGCTAATTTTGACAATTAGATAGGAATGTTGTTCAAATGTCACCAACACTGTCATATATCATTAAGAAAATTACATTAAACTCATTTTTTTTAACTATTCTAGTTTTAAAATAGTAGTTAGTTTAGACTGTTTCAGATTTTAAAGAATTTGCTATTGTCTAATTATTTGCTTTTCAATTTATGAATAATTTAGGTGATTAGTATTTAGTTGTATTATTTTTCAAATGTGAGTTTTGAGAAACAAAATAAAAACTAAAATGAAAAATATCTATCAGCTTTTATTATTAATATAATAACTTGCATTTTTTGGGGTATGTTATGTTCAAACTAGTATTTGTTTTTTCCCCCAAAGTAATAGAGCAATATCAAATTCTTGCTATATAGTATATTATTTATAGTTTGTTTAATCCCTATGTTATATTAGCATCAGTATTAATTCAATAAAAATATAGATGTTTGCTAAAGAAAATATGCAAAATATTTAGACCTTATATCTTGTTTTGCTATAATCTTTTTTCAATTTGTTAAACTTATGCATGTGTCTTTCTTTAGAATTATTATCTTTTAATATTATAAGTTATCCAACAGTTATCCACCGTATACTTTTGCAATGTGCAGTTACAGAGAAAAGAAGTCGGAACCTACGGAAATGATGCAGCTGGATGGATATACTGTAGATTATGTTAAACCAGTGCTTGGTATTAAATTTTCTATTTTTTACTTTATTTACTTAGTTTTCTAGTTTGTATTTAATTTATATGCATAAACTCCAATAATTAAACTTTTATATCTTTACAAATTATTCTAAATAATTTGTTTGATAGACCTTCAACTGAAACAAAAAGCATCATTATTACACTAAGCAACTAATCAGAAACAATTAACAAGTCAATTCAACAAATGGCAGAATTTTAAGCTTTAGCGATTAAAACTCAACTTAACATACTTCTTGATTAACTTTTCTTATTCTCGTCTATTTTGAATATAGAGTTTTATAAATAATCAGTGCAAAACAGTGCTGAACTGCACACACAGTGGAATGGTGGTCCTCGTGTAGCTTAACAAATATGTACTCTAGTATAAAACAAAATTGTTTTGGGCCAGCTGGGATAAAGTTTTTTTTTTTTTTTAGAAACATTTTATTTATAGCAAATGTCCTATATGTAAACTGTATTGAATTTTTTACTTACTGAAAAAAAATTTTTTTTACTGATATGAAATCTGCCCATTTGTAATTAAAAAAATTGACATTAGTTTTGTATATTATGAAATTTGATTTAAACTAATAAGATTGGCATAAATTTTTTTATAACCATCGTTGAACTGCCGACACAAGTTTTTGGGTTCACGACTGCTATTATTCAGCTCTATAGCCTTGTGATTTTGAACCAATCCAGAAGACAAGAAACTCCTAAATCCGTACCCCCCAGAGATATGATTTGTTATGGGAACATGAAGGACTTTGTGATTCGATGGATTCAACGTGCATCAGTCACACGTGGAGATCGAACCCATAACCTCCGGTACATGGGCTAAGTGTCCTACCAACCAGGCTGTCCTGGCCTTTGGTATAAGTTGTCGTTCTCTAGAGTGCAATTTGATTGTGGTTTCGTTCAGTATGTAATGAAGTAATTTATTGTTCAGATTGTTTTTGTCTCATTGGCTCCAGGATCTGAGATGAATCACCAGTTAATGTTTCATAATAAAATTAATCTTCATTAATGTGATAGTGGTTTTCAAAAATTACTCGTAGCTAATGGTGTTCTAACTAGTTTTGCTTCCTTTTCATTTAATTGTCGTCTGAAATCTGTTACTGTTAACTGGAGAAAATCTGTTGCTGTAATATTTTTATTAATCTTATTGAAATTAAAGAAAAAGAATGAAGCAAATTGAACATTTAGGGCAACTTCAGTTAGTGCAGAAAAAAGATGGCATCTCTGAACCAGCAACTACTTTTGTTTGAATAAAATCTCTCTGTACTTACAGGTATTAATTTATTATTTCTCTTTTCCTGCTTTGTTTAATGCTACTTCAAATTTCAGATCTTGAAGGTGGGAGGTTTTTTTTTCAATGCGGTCAAGGAAGGTGATAGACAATGAAAATGGGTGCCATCTATGGGTCATGGCTATGTACAGGACTACCTACCATGTGAGCACATTCAACATCAAACCAGCAAAAACTCTACCATATCTAAGTTACAAGGAGGTATGTAGCAATATTTGGCTTCAAAAATTAGCTCAAATGATTGACACTAAAAAAAATCGATATTTTATCTCCTCTAACGTTTAGATTAAAAAAAGGGCATAAGTCCATTATATATAATTTAAAATAACACTCTAAGTATAAAGTTTCCTTATTCATAAATTAAAAGGTTTACTTATAGTAGAACATTATTTTTTTTAAAAATTTTTGACGTAAAGAAAGTTTTTATAAAGATCATTCTAAGAATTTTATAGCTGCCACAATTATTCAAACTTTTTATTCGTTTGTTGATTTGGCTATTTCCATACTAGCAAAATTTGTGTTATATCTTAATTTGAGAGAAAGAAACTTATGCTATTTATTAAATACAATTTCATAAATAACACAAATTTAAAATTATATTTAAAAAAAATATTCAATATTTATGTTCATGCTTTGTTCCTAATGAAATTAACGCATGCTTTCTAAGAAATGTTAGTAAGTTGTTCATACTATAAAATCTTTACTTGGGATAATTAATAAGGAATATTTCAAAGTTTATAGTGTTTATTTTTTGGGTAAAATACTAGTGCGAATTCCACACTTCACACAAAGTATTGCCCCCCCCCCTGAACAGATTGCTACAGATGTGAGGAATGTCATAACTTTTCTTCACACCAGTCCATTGTTGTCTGCCTTGCTTTTTTGAGCACTATATTTTATGCTCGGCTTTTATTTATCTATTTCTTTTTAGAAATATTTACCTGTTGATGTTTTACCCTGGTGTGCACGATAATTGCATGTTTATTTTTAATTATAAAGGGTTACAGAAAGAAAGTCATGTTTAGGGTATTGTGGGAAAGATAAATTATAGTTTGCTGATATTATGTTTAAATTAGAGATCTACGTTACTGCGGTTACCAATTATTCATTATTTTGACCAGCTAATGCAGATGGATATTTAGTACTGAGCAATGTTGGTTTATTGTCAAACTCTAACCATGTCCTTATCCCATTTTTCAGGTGCTCTATATTTTTATGATCGTGGTAGAAATGTCATGTAATTTGGCTCCTGGTCAGATAACGTTAACTCCAATTTCATGTAGAATTTTGACCCTGGTCAGATAACATGGACAGCACCATAGCTGGTTCCCCTCTTCCCAAGTTTCAGCACCACAACCAACCAACAAGAGTACTTTAATTCATAAGAGATTTAATGCACACTTTGCAGCATATACACTCCAGTTGTTTTACCGACTGCCAGGTTCAAACTCATGACTCCAATTTTCCATCAGCTGTGTGAACATCTAAATCGACTGTGCCACTAATTACTTATGTTACAACTGTTGCATAAGTTGCTTGAAACAAATTTACTCCTGAAATTTAGAATCACTGATTTATACTTGAAAATTAAATTTGCACTAAGTTTTATTCAGAGTTACTTCAAACTTAATTTTTTTAGGGTATCTTAACCTAGTGTTAAGGGTTAAACTTATGAGAAAGCACTTTTTTTTCAATAAATTAGTTTTTGGAAGAATAGGAACTGTGATAAAGAATGTTAAAATTTAGTATTTTTCGTAAGGAGGGCAAAAAAGCAAAACAAATTAGTAATATTTTTCCATCAGTATATTTTATTTTTTGGGTAAAAACAAATCCGTTATAATAATTTCACGTTATTATTTTCGTTTGAAATTTAATAAACTAATGTACTTAATTAATGTTTAGACTGTAGGTGCTAAAAAAAACATTTCCATTATTCTGTAAAGTTCTAAGTACTATTAACGAAGCAATTAATTTTTTTAAAAGTTTTAGTTGTACTGCACCTTTTTTTTTCTTTTTTTTTATACATCTCTACTTTAAATATTAAGAAAAAAACTATTCAGCCCATTAGAATCTTGATAATTTTGTAGTTATTTAGATTTATACTCTGCGAGTATTTCCTTTTATTTGCTAGTATAGTAAAAGCTAACATGTTAAGTAAATTTTAGTAAGTACTTTGATTACAAGATTGTTTTTGGAAATATAAATTTATTTAGAAGCTGAGCTTTAGTTAAACCTGAAACATTTATGTTAGCTTTAGAATCATCCTCAAAAATTATTTTTCTTTCTTACTCAATCCATTTTCGTGATTTAGAAATCTTTGATAAAACAATGATGGACATTATTTTGACATTTTGTTATCAAGATAAATAACAATAAAATTAATTTAATGTATAATTTTTTAAATCTTATTTTTATCTTATTTTTTAAATCTTATATTTAATTTATTTCGATCATCATTTTGCAAAAAGAAACATTTTAAACTTAATGAATTGCAGAAAAATTCCTGCAACTTCTTTCGTATCACCTACACTTTAAAATCTTCTGCATTTTTAGGCATTTATATTTCTTAAGAATCTCTTTTTCCTTAATAGAATAGTTTACAATGTAAAAATGGTATGCTTGCTTAGAAAAGTTCAACTTATACGCAATTTATATTGCTGCCTTTTTTAAACGTATGGTTATATTGTTATTTTTTCCCAGGAAATATCAGGAAAAAAAATGAAATTTATGTTATTTATTTGAGATTAAAGTATAAATTGCAATTAACTTGGTTTAGTTTTCTAAATGTTTTTCTCTGCATCATTGAAATTAAGTTTTACATAATTTGAATTTCATGTATAATATATGCCTGCCAAATCTGCTGTTTCTTAACAAAGACTCCTGTAATTTACGTCTATCTCCTGTTTACCAGTACATTTTAAATTTCTCCGTATTTGTTGAATAAATTAAAAAACAATTCGGCAATAAAACATCCGCTAATAGCAAAAATACTTCTCCTATTCCTCAACAGATGGTACTATTGCTAGTACTACAGTAAGTTGAGTGCTTATAGTTTAAAATATTACAAATAATAATTTTTAAAAAAAAATTATCTTTTAGACAATATAAAGAACAAAACAAACAAAACCCTATCAGATCATTATGTAGAGTATTTAACCAAGATATTTAATGTATGTCTGTCGTTGAACTTCTTTCCTGAAATATGTAAAACTGCAAATATAATTCTATTTCCTATACCAAACAAAGATTTACTATCTCAGAACAGTTTTCGACCTATAATTTTGCTTTGCACTCTTGGTAAGATACAGAAGCGAATAGCATACACTAGGCTCAAACCATTTTTCAGTTGTTTGCCAGATGAATAGCATGGATTCAGGGTGAAACTGGATACAACAAAACAGTTGTTACGTTTAGTTGATTATGTTGGCAGAGGATTAGTCTTAAAGCAGACTTCGGCTTGTTGATACTTGATATTAGTAAAGCGTTTAATAGAGTATTGGAACAAAGGAATAATTTTTAAATTAATTGAGCTTGAATTCCCAAAGGGAATAATAAAATTTGTTTACAGTAATTTGGCACAAAGAAACTTTCAGATTAGAATGAAAAACGCATGCTCCACGGTGAGGAGTATAAGAGCAGGCGTACCACAAGGTAGCATACTCGGACTAATTTTATATATCCGTTTTACACACGATTTCCCAATCGACAGGATCACTCCTGTCGATTGGAACAGCTTAACTGCATTTTATGCAGATGATACAGGTGTGATAATAAGATCAAGTAACCTGAACAGGGTTATAGAAAAACTGCAGGATAAGATATACGATAACGAGGAATGGTGCTTAGATTGGAAGGTTGAAATAAATGTTCAAAAGTCCTAACTGATCCAGAACAACAGGAATCCAATTAGAGAGCATAATGAACTAGTACTCTTAAACCAAGTGATACCAGGAGTAACTAAAGCAGCATACTTAGGTCATTCACAACAGTCGGACTTGATCGGATCGTGTGAAAAATGTCAAAGATAAAGCCAATGCTGCAACTTTAGAACTGCAATCAATAATGTACAGTGAAAAACTGAGTTTAAAATGAAGAGGTTACTTTTCACCTCCATGATTAGACAGACCAATCATGACCTATGCCTCGCCAGCATGGTGTAACGTTTCAGAAAGTGAGTTTGGGAAACTCAGAAGAAGGCAGAACAAGATTTTATGAAAGATAACTGGTGCTCAGTGGTATCAGAGAAATGTAGACATACACACGAACCTAGAGATTGACAGTTTTGATCACCACTTTAACAAACTAAATCGAAACTTTTTTAAGAAAGCGTTAGACTGCAAAGCCGCAAATTTTGACTCAATTTTTGAGTTCGAAAACTTAGCTGAAAATGCCTCCCTGAGGCCAGTAGCTCACTTTTTTTAACACTGACCATCTGAGTATTCACGAATATAGTGGAAAATTATTTTATGGCAATATCTCAAAATGGCCTTAATAAATATATATTAAACTATATATCATATATATATTAAGAAAAAATACAAAAAGAAAGAAACGGACATGTAATTGTATGAAAGCGTTGACTCAAATCAACTTGATTTGTAACAAACTTGACAATGCTTTAGTAATTAGTGAACTGTGAGAATGTTGAGAGAGAAAGTGTATCGTACCTGAGATGTACAATTAAATTTTTAACAAACGTCTTACAAGAAGTATATTTCGTTTATAATTTTTTATCTACTTATTGTGATAATGTATCATTATATAATATCACTTGAGCAATGTGCTCAATATTAATTCTCTACTTTCATTTTTAGGATACAAGGACCTCAAGATAATACCACAAGGATCCACCATCACAAGATGAAGTAGTAAAGGGCCACTTCTGTCTCAGGCACCCCGACCAACCGAGTTTTCAAATTTTGGGTAATTTTTACTTAATTTACTAATGTTATAATTGTGCGAAAAGTAATTTATTGTTAAACAATATTAGTTTTTTATTTCTCAGATAATTCTATCAGTAAGGGGGGGGGGGTCCTAACCCTATAGGACTAGACAGCTTTTCCTAAAAAAAAATTCGATTTTTTTTTTCAAAAGAAAAAAGAATGTTATAACTTTTTTATTCTGAGCAGTTAGACACAAAGTATAGGATAATATCTAAATAACTTCCAAAGTTACAGCAAAAATTCTGAAACCCATTCATGAAAGCAATAAATATATCACACCAGTTTTCTAAATAGGAATCGTCTGCAAACTCACTTATTTTTTTCAAAAGTATTTAAAGTTATGTCTTTAAATCGGGTTTTCACAATTCGAGATTTTCAATTTTGCGCACAAGATTTCTCCACTTCTACTAAATCAATTAAGTTTAAACTTGGTAATTAGATTCTGGATAGCATAGTGCTTTAAAAGAAGAAAAAAATTTCATTTAAAAATTTTTTTTTTTTGGAATTTTTCCTTTTTTGGAGCTGGTATGGTTTTTGAAAGATATTTTACTGTATATTAAAAGTTTTTTATAAGATTTTTATGACTTCTATCGTTTTCGCAATATGCCACACTATCTCTTTTATTTTTCCTGCAACTTTTAAGTCTGAGGAAAATTAAATTGTAAAAGTTCTTTGTGATGTATCGCAAAAGTGTTTATATTTAAATAATACCTGCGCCTCCTCCACGAAGGCTAACTTGTTCCAATGTTTGATCCAGAAGTTCCCTTGTCTTCTGGATTGGGTTCAAAATCACAAGGTTAAGGTGTTGAACATTGGTAGTTGTAAACCCAAAAAATTGGGTCTACTGTTTAACGACGGTAATAAAATACATCTGCCTCTCTAATCTCTACTGATTAAGATTCTTTGTAGTGGTAACGAAATGAAAGCAAGAATTATACAATTAAAAGCAAGAATTATATTATCTCCGCAAACGGTTAATGTTAGTATTTTAATTTATTTTTCAATTATTTGTAAGCAATGGTGGAAAATTTTTTTATAAATTAACTTTGTTAAATTATGAGAAAATATTAAAGTAGACATTTTGATAATACTCTAGATACTGAAAAACATCTACCTCAAAAATAAGGAGATTCAGCAGCTACAGAATAGATGATCCAAAATTCATTAGAAATTTAAGCAAAGTTACGACTTCTTTTTCATTTTCGGCAAAATATACCCTCACTAGCTATTGCTTCCTAAACCCCAGAATTAAATGCTTTTGCAATTCATTTCAAATTGCTTGATTATTGTTAAATATCTCAGTTCTTACACTTTATTTTAACAATAGTTGGTGGAAAGTTCTTTCTCAAGAGTGCTGGCAACCGGAATTCGTCTTATATAAACTGCTCACATCTAAGAGTCGCTCCTAAATTAAGATTATTACACAGGCCTGCGATGAAAAAAATACAAGAGGTCTGACAGCTGAACTTAATGTATTTTTTGGTGCTGAAATGGAAAATAATAATGAAAAATTTCCATCACGTCACGTTTTTTAGAAAAATTCAATTTTACTGGAATTTTAATGAACATTTACCATAAAAAAGTTTTCGTTTTTGAATTTCTTCCCTTCTTGACTGACCAGCATTCTAATTTGGTCAAATCTATAAAAGTACCCCTCTATCACTACTTCCTGTCACTGTCCCTCTCTCTGTAACAATGTCTTCCTACCAATAGCGCCGTGAGAATCCTTATCTAGGTCCGCTGACCTCTCAGAAACCCTAGCAAGCGTGATAGGGAGTCATTTTAAAGTTAGCTTTTTCTGTGCGTTTCGTGAAACATGGCTTTGAGTTCAAAACATTGTGAAAATTTCCCAGATGACTTTTGTGATACATGCGGCGAATATAATGCTGTTAAAAATCGCATGAGGAGCATTATAGACTATGTAAGACAACTTTATCTCGCATATTTTGGCATGAAACTCGGAGATCAGGACAAATCTTGGGCACCTCATAAAATTTGTGTGCAGTGTCTCAATGATCTACTCTTATTGCATCAAGGAAAGAAGACTGCTTTACGATTTGGAATTCCTATGACGTGGAGGGAGCCCCAAAACCACTTTGATGATTGTTATTTTTGTTCCTGCCATGTTCGTGGGTATAACCGAAAAAATCAAAGACTAATATCTAAACCTGGCTCTCGTCCTGAACAAAATAAAATATATCGACCACAGTTGGACCATTTGCGGTGATTTGAAAGTTATCTCCATGCTTCTTGGTTAACAAGGGGGATTTATAAAGTACCCATGTTTCATTTGTGAGTGGGACAGCCGTGACAAGACTCAACATTGGGTCAAAAAAGAATGGCCGAAAAGACAAAATCTTGACCCAGGCACCAAGAACGTTATTCGAAACAGCTTAGTTGATCCGAAAAAAGTATTGTTACCTCCGCTACATATAAAATTAGGTGTAATGAAGCAGTTTGTCAAGGCTGTTCCAAAAGATGGCAATTGTTTCAAATACCTGTGCAAAAAGTTTCCAGGTTTATCCCAAGCTAAGTTGAAAGAAGGAATATTTGTTGGTCCAGATATCCGCAAACTCATGAAGGATAAAGAATTTGAGACTAACATGACAGAAACGGAAAAAGAAGCTTGGGTTGCTTTCAAAGATGTCGTCAGTAAATTTCTGGGTAATTACAAGGATCCTGATTATAAGGAAATTGTAATGAAAATGCTGGACAAATTTAAAACGTTGGGTTGCTCCATGAGTGTAAAAATGCATTTCCTTCACTCACATGTGGACTTTTTCCCTGAAAATTTAGGAGCAGTTAGCGAAGAACAAGGGGAAAGGTTCCATCAAGATATCAGAGATATTTAGCGTAAATATCAAGGAAGATGGGACAAGAACATGTTCACTGACTACTGTTGGATGATAGCTCGGGATAAACCTGAGATTAAGCATGAAAGAAGATCATCAAAAATAAGTTTCAGAGGAAAACGAGTATATACTTAAATAGAAACTTTTCTCTTTTGTTTTTTGCTTGTTTTGTTTTTTGTTTCAAACTTTCATATACACATACACAATATTTGTTATTCTTGGTTAATCGTCAATTTTACGTAAGTTATCTCAATAAAAACAAATTAAAATGGTATGTTGGTGATTTTCTTCTAGAAACTGATGTAAAAAGTTTGAACACAAAGAACTTATTGTTTTTCTCTTGACCAGAGGTGACTTCTGCTGTCTGGTAACAGTATTTTTTATTCATTTTAACCTATAAAAAATCAGTTGATAGCTCAAAAATCAATTTTCTTTCACAAGATTAAATTTTACATAGATCAAAATGAATGAAGAGAACAGTTACCGGATAGTACATGCAAAATTATTTGAGAGAATTCCTTTCCAAATAGGATTTTAGTAAAAACATTAATATCGATTTTATAAAAAATCCTGATGTGATTGGGAAAAATGAAGGTCATTTTCAAAATCAGCACATCAAATAACATATAAATCAACAATAACCTCTCTTGTATTTTTCAAAAAGTTCAATTTCGCAGGCTTGTGTTATTATTATAGATTAAAATTAGTACGCCCTTTCTTAAAAATCCTTAACCCATCAAAAAGTTAATAACTCTTTAGTAACTCTTCTTCTTGTTAAGTAATCTGCAGCGATACATGAAATTAACCGCGCATTTCCGTACTTTATGTGTTTATAACTCTTTGGTGTTCAATAATTACAGCCTGAAATACATATTAATAAAATACTTATCAATGACGAATCACTAGGGAGGAAGGTGAGATGAAAAAGGTTAAAAGCAGTTTTCTTGCCTAATGAAACTATCGTGCTTCTAGTTATCGCTCTTTAAGCCTGTTTAGTTTCCTTCGGCAATCAAACAGGTTTTTATGTTCTCAGTCCCACTCTCTTCAGTTGGGATTCGTCGGATATCGATAGCGTTTTTGTTTTTTCCCCAGATTAATTGTTAATTCACGACCTCTAATGTGTATACTTTTTTACAATCATCTTAAAGATTTATATTAACATCGGTCGTTACCAAACACCCTATATATTCTAGGGCAATTTAAAGAAATGATAAAACTGCTTAATTTCATGCTAATATGTTTCTGCTTTGAAAAAGTAATAAGATGAATCAAATCACGATTATTAAATCAAGGGCTAATAAAACGACCTTTTAATTTTCAAGATCACGTATGAGTCAACATTTGGTAATTAGTTGCCAATATTTGGTGGTTACTGTTAGGATTAAAGTAATAAAAATTGCGTATCGATAAATAAAGGCCCAACCAAACGACCTTTTAGCTTTCTATAACACGTATGAGTCAACGTTTAGAAATTAGTTACTCATGTTTCTTTTTATGAACAACGTGTAACTAATATCATATCAATTACGATATTCAGGGTTAATATCATATCAATTACGATATTCAGGGTTAATATCATGACAAATTAAAGTATCGCAAAATATAATTCATAAAAAATACGCCCTCTTATTAAAATGTTATTTTAATCGCATCACGTAAATCTTGCTCAACTTTCTACTATATCGTAATTTCATATGAACTCCACCCGTTTTAGTGAGGTTAACATAACACATTAGTAGGTTAGAGAACTCGGTGAAAATGACTAAGAAAAATTTGTTTTTTTAATAAATCTTAGACAGCAATTGCTTTAGAGTTAAAATATTATTTTTATTATGAAATTACTGTTAACGTAAAAGTAATTTCTGATGCGTATATTGCTTTTTAATCTTTAACAAATTGTTGAACTTTCGTGTAATAATAAAGGGTGTATACATTTTTGACGTCTTGTCAAAAATGAACTTAGAAAAAACATACAAATTTAGGGACGTCAATTAAAAATAGAAAAGCGAGAAAAAAAATAGAAATGGTATCGAAAAAAGGAAAATCATTAACTAGGAAATAGAGACTATTGACATCAAAACTTGTTCGATTGCTGAAAAAATTTGAAAGGCAGCTTATTCATAGAAACACCAAAAAATTTTATCTGTTTTTCAAACAGGTTTTGTTGTTTTGAATTTTCCGTTCCTCGGTATTAGATTTGTCAGTAGATTAGAGAGTATTTTTCCAATTTTGATGACGTTTTTGTTTTTTACATGCATAAATAGTAATTTGAGGCCGCTAATGTGTATGCTTATTGCCCTCGTTTTTAACAAGGAGTTCAGGAGTATACATTAAGGGCAGTATCACACTATTTTGATCATTTAAATCCGTGACAATGGTAAACAAGTATGTGAATGTTTCGAATATGCCATTGTTTTCGTAAATTTTTTTAAATGATTTCTAAATTTTAATAATTTAATGTTTTATTTATTATCAAATAATAAAAAAATGTATATGCATAATGGGTTTAAATTTAGCACTAATCAAAACTAGTAAAACTGCAATGGTTCAGTGGTTAAGGCTGTCAAAGTGAAGAACCGGGATTCAATCCCTAGTGACGGCGTGAAACATACCCAGCTTCAGATGGATGACTACCAGTTTGTCTACGAAGTAAAGGTGGCCTATGCTCAATCCTAACCACATAACCATAATCATGCCATTGGTAACGAAATTGTGAAGCTTTAGCATTTATGTTGCGGTAATGTTTCTTTTTAACCAGCATTAGTTAATAAAAATAAAAACTGAAGTAATAATTTAAAACTACTATTAAAATTAACATGTATAGCATGAAAATATAGTTTTTTTTCTCCTTCTTACATTAAAGTCGTAAAGAAATCTATTAATCTAATAAAAATATGAAAGGAGTTTATTTAATTTAAAAGTCTGGATATAGATAGTCTGGATATAGGCCTAAATATTAATCTATAATTATGTATACAAGTTTTTCAAGCATTCCAATTAAAATACACATTGTTCTGCAATCACTACTCTTAACATAAAAATTTTGGAACCTTGCCAAAAATGATGTAATTTACTCACTTCGAATCTATAACGTGCCATTGGCAATAAATTTTTTTTTAAAATCTGACTTATTTCAAACACGTTTCCAATAATTTCTATTGGTTAGATCTTTTAAAGAAGAAAAGAGCTGGGTAAACGATTGTCTCTAATAGAATTACAGTTTCGAGACAGGAGAAAATTGTTATTTTTTTTTACGTTAATCATCCCCCCAGGCAGCATCAGATATCCTCTTCTATTAAGGACATTTATTAAATTTTTTAATCGAAAAATAAAACAAATTCATTTAAATATGTGGTGGTTGGTTGTGTTCAGGGCAGGGGTGGATCCAGAAATTTTTCCTGGGAGGGGGTCATAGACTCAGATTCCCCCCTCCACAATTAATTTTTTAAAAATATTTCTGAAAAAAAAAAAAAAAAAAAAAANCGCTTCAACATTATTAATGTTTACAATGAAACTATGACGAATTTCGTTTTAATCTTTTGGATTATGATTCTTGAAACAGTGAAGAACATAATTAGATGGGGGGGGGGAAATCGATTTTTCCGACCTTCCTAGGTGTGTATGCCCTCTTAAATAATTTTTAAAATATTTTATTTCTTTTGTAAACTATTAAAAAAATTATTATTTTTATTTTATTTTTCAATTTACGCATTTCATAGGGTCATGAACTCATGACCCCCCTTCGCTGGATCCCCCACTAGTTCATGAGAATAATTGATAAAGTTTATATTAATTTACATTTAAAATATTAAGTATAAAGAACAGTAATATAAATGAGTACAGCGTGTGTGTGTCGTGCAACAGAGACAGTTAGGATTCTTCTGACGAATGAGAAGTTAGAGTTAAAATTACTGATCATAACTGTCGCGGTTACGATTTAGTTGAGTCGCCGCAAATATTTTTAAAAAAAATTATGTTGAACTCTAAAGATGCCCCTTTGTTGGAGACTTCCTGCCTTCCATTAGAAAAATCCTAGCATCTCCCTCTATTTTAATTATTATTTTTCTTACTGTATTCTAAATGCATGACTTTTGTTTAGAGATCGCTGAAATAGATCTTTAAAATATATTGCCACATAGATCTTCAATATGAAATATATTGCTTAAAATGCAAATATATATAGTTTTAAAAGTTAGCAGAATAGAATTAGCTCTTAACTGCTTATCAGAATAACTATTATAGTAAAAACTATGTGTATAACAGGGTGCTTAGCGTTTTTAAAAAGTGCTCTTTTTCGATTTTCGTTTTTTAAAAGCCCTTAAAAGGTGCTTTTTTCATATTTATTTTTTATAGGTATTTTTAAAGTGCTTAGTTTTCCCTTTTTCAAAATTAGTTTTTTTCCTTTACTATGTTGATTTTCATCTCGAATTATACAAAAAGACACAGTTCACATTGTTCTATTCAACGTTTTCACAATTAATTCAACCCCTATCTATTTTGGCGTATTGTCAGTCCGTAGCGAATGAAAACGCCATTCGTTTTACATGATTCAAAATTTTATGATTTTGGACAATTGTCAAAAACAATGCAAAAAGTTTTTTTTTTGACATGACGGTTAAAACAAGATAAAACCGCCAATTGTCAAAAACTTTTCAGCTCTGCCTGATTATGATATTTTTTTAAAGTGCTTAAAAATATTTTTTGAGAGCTCGAAAAGTGCTTAAAAGGTGCTTATTTTTTGTTGAATAATTTGGCTACTGAGCCTGTCTAAGAATGTGATAAATATGTATTTTTGGTATTGAATTTTATATTGGTATCACATATCCATTGTAGCCAAACTTCAGAACGGTTGCAGCTGTAGTTATACAAATGGTGCCTATGTATAATAAAGTGGCTGTGCGCTAAAAGATGCGATTGCTTACAACAGCCCCACCTGGTGAAATATTGCAGTGTTAGCATTCCTATCACGAAAGCGTTACAATAAGGGAGGAAATAATCTATAAAGTGTATTGATTTTAAAAGAATATACACTTTGTAAACATCAACGCATTAAAAAAAGAAAATGCATATTTATGTTTCACACTTTAAACAATGGGACGTAATGAGACGATCTAGGGGAAAATGTCTAGTTAACTAACAGACTCATTTATTTCTAATGAATAACGCAAAAAGAAGTTTTAGACATCGAAAATAAAGGTTTGTCGCAAAATTGAGCGTTTATTTTTGAAAGTGGTAGGTCCATTTGAAGCTAAAGAACCTGTTGTTTATTTATTCTCTTACGATTTTAATAATCACAGCTGCATTTTGATGTTTCATCAAATTATAGTGTTAAAAACATCATCCAAATAGATTAATCTTTATCAAAGACTAACCCTTAGAAAATGGAGAGAAAAAAATAATTTGAAAAAATGGACTTATTCCGCTTTTAAAAATAATGACACATTTATTTTTCTGTTTGAAAATAACTATAATGTAATAAATCTAATAAATAATAATATAGAAAATGTTGTTCATTGTTTTAAAAGTTCTTTACTTACTTACTTATCCTCTACGTGCCTTGGGCACTTAAGGCCTCTAGCATATCCCTCCAACGCCTCCTGTCTTTAGCAATAGATCTTGCTTCCTCCCAGCCAGATATTCCACATTCTTTTAATTCGCCCAAAAACATGCGCTGGATGGTAAGTCTGGGTCTTCCTCTTGTTCTCTTACCATCAGGGGCCCATGTAAGCGCAACAGATGAAATTTTTTCTTTGGGCATTCTAAGGATATGTCCGAGCCAGCTCCATCTTCGTTTAAAAGTTCTTTGTTAGCATTAAATTCAACAAGGTATGTATTTGTGTTAAATCAATCTAAGACTTTTTAATTCAATTTTATCTCCAATATCTCATTTCGTTTTTGAGATAGAAATGTTAACTCCAAGTTTTTTCAGCATTTAGATATAGAGCTTTGCACATTACCTCTTTGTTATGTATAGTCACTTTACAATACATAGACACCACTTTTGCTTCAGTAAGTACCTTGCATATTACTTAAAATTAATTAAATATTATATTTTAACAGAATGTAAATTTCATTTAACACTTAAAACTGCTTAGCATACCAAATTAGCATTTGAAATTGTAAAACAATCTTCAACTATATTATCATTACTTTTTTTAGGAGAGTCCCACATCCTTATATAATTCAGTCAGCAATCCAGGTAGTATCAATGATTTCACATTGTATTCAACACCATCTTTGCCAAATATATCATTGGGGACACCTCCTGTACCTACATCTGCTGTAAGTTTATTTTGGAACTGTTATAGGAAAATATATTTTGTTCTAAAAAAATACTTAGAATTTTATCTTTCTCTTGCTTGCGAATTATTTATTTCTCCTATGTTAAAAATGCTGCCGGAAAAAAAATTTCCCTTTTTGTTTGACATTTTAAACTCAATGCTTTTATAAATATCTTATGAAATCTAGCTTCAGTCACAATTTTGAAAGTTCTTGTGTTTTAGAAGAATAAATCGATAATTAAAAGTATGAAGCATTTTTTTAACATTGAATTATTATATATTACCAAGTTTTACTTTGGCACAAATTTTACTGTTTGAATGCTTGAATACACAACTTTTAAGTGAAGGAATTTCAAGCTTTTGATATTTAAAAATTCTCAATATACGAAGTTTTCCATGATCCTCTTAATAAGCATTTTTAGAATTGCTTTCCTAAAATGAAGTTCAAAAAATTGCATACATTACCGGATGCTAATTAATATATAAACTAGAAATAAAAACACTATATAACAAATCACTATTGAGAGCATTGAAACCTGTTTGATTGCCAGCGGAAACAGTGGATTTGAAAAAAAAGTTTTTCGGCCTGCTTTCTTCAGTAGTAATTCGATGATTTCAATTTTTGCAACATCCTTTGCATTTGTAGACATAAATAATTATGCCTCTTAAATAAATTGGGGCTCATATTTTTAATGTAATGCTTCCTTCAAATATCTGTGACGTGCATTCTAGTACAGGTTACATTTATTATGTCAAAATGATATCTTATTGTTTAAGCGTTTAGAAATGAAATGAAATAATCAATGATTCTTATTAGAATTTATGTTGCAATCCTTATTCTTCTTTTATTCTTGGAAATTCTGAGCAAGTGAAGCAACTTCTCCTAAAAAAGAAATTATCTAAATCTTAAATTTCTTTACTGACTTTTATATAGAAATGCCATTTTTAATGCATCGAAAAATGAACGGAAAAATAATATACACCAATACTTATAGCGTACCCTCTAAGTTCTTTAGGCGCTAAGTTGTAAACACCCTCATTACTTGACCCTTTGCTTACGGTAAACTACGTTGTACCATCGCATGTGGTCCACATGTTGTACCAGCGGTAAGCAAAGGGTTAAAGAGGTCAAGAGTACACAGTTCTTGTTCATTTCTGTAAAACTCTCACTTTAGGCATATGTATCTTCGGCTAAGGGCAATGGTGAATTAAATTTTAAGTTAATTTAAATAATTAGCTTTCTTTCAATTTTATTTTAAAGCAACTTCTCTTTTTATCATATTCTATACTGAATCTTGAATATTTTTTATCGACTCTACAGGAAATTGGTAAAAGTGCTGTACCAGCTGGTTCTGAAGTACAGGAAAGAGATATTTCCACCATAAGACTAGGAATGCCTCTTGCATCAAATGTCTTACAGTCTTTAACATATTACCCAGCATTACCGGGTATACTCTCTAATTCTTAAAAATCTAGTTGTCCAAGTAGCAATTATTCATGCAATTTTTTTAAACGTAATAAATTTTTAATTTTATGTCAAATTGAAAAGATATCAGCTTCAAACTATTGCTTTGTTTTACAATAACTTTGATTCTTTGTTAACATAAAGGCAAAAATACTTCGTTGAAATCGATATATAGTATATGTTTAAATTATAATAAATATATTAATGTACGTGAAAATTTCTATATTTCTTTTAATTTTTTTTGTTGAATTTAATCTGTTTATAATTCTCGCATAAATAAAAATACATTAATAAATTTAATTTATTATTTATAAATGCTTTAATATACAGCATGTTACAAAATGTGACTCACAAATTCATAGGGGTGATATTAGATATGAAAAGGATAAAAACGTAACGCAGAACAAGGGATTACCAGCCACGTTAAGAGGGAAATGGGATTTTACAGTCTACAACGACATAAAAACGATTCTCGAATGTACATGGAGATGACACCTATGCACAAGCCAGATTACACAGGTAAGTTTGTATAATCACTGGATTAAATATAACTTTAGTTCATGGTTCATAGCGTTTTTAAAAAGACCTTAAAAGTGCTTATTTTCGTTTTTTAAAAGCCCTTACTTAATTTTCACTTTTCGAAAATGAGATTTTTTTTACCTTGCCGAGTTTCGCTGTGTATCATGCAAAAGTGTGGTTTTCACGTTGTTCTATTCAGCGTTTTCACAATTAACTCAACCACAATCCATTTCCCATAACGTATAATAGCGCCAAACATGTTTGATGAAATACTTGGGACTGACTACTGAGTTGGGTTTGATGAGATTCTTGCACTCCCAAATGCAAATCAGCTGCAAGATATTCTCAATTTCAGGCTTTATTTTACGCCCTCTGAAAAGTTCTTTGTCAGTAACTAGTAATTTTATCATGATCATATAAAGTCTTTGAAATTTATTTTGCATTTTGTTAATGTAATAGTGCTTAAACTTTTTTTGAATGCTTAAAAAGTACTTTAAAGGTGCTTATTTTTTGTTGAGATATTTTAATGAACTGGAATGTATTTCAATCTGTTAGTTTCATAAGTTTATTAAACAATCTACCTCAATTTCAATTCTAGAACCATTCAAAGACCTCTTGGGAGAACACAGTCAGCTCCACTACCTCTTGATCATCCAATGCTACAATCACAAGCCATACTTTTATCACCTCAACAAAATGAACAATATGCTCGAGAAAAGAGACTCTGTGAGCAGCAGCAACATAATCTACTCAAACAAGTAAGAGGTCTTCTGATTGATTTAATTTGCAACTTCAAGAATTAAAATATTTTTTGTCTAAAACTTTTGTACATTCCGTATCAGTTTTTTTTATTTTTAGTTCCAAAATAAATACTTTTGGAACTTTTTAAAATTGATCTTCTTTTTCTAAGTAGGATCTAACTTGAATTTATAAAATATATACTAATATTAACAGGTTATGGAATATCAAGAAAGAAAAAAAATGCTTTTGATGCTTTTCTTTTCTTCAAAATAGTTAAATTTTTAAGAGTGTAGTTTTTATGTCGTTATCCCTCTCTAAATAAAGAAATCATTTCTAAATTATTTCTGTTCCAAACTTAGATTAGTCATCCGTCCTCATCACGCTGTTGCTATTCAGTCTCAATTACACAATATTTCTCTGTATACACTCAACTGCTAATGACAACGCAGGAGCTATGTATGATCTTAATGTAACTGTCATGGCCTGCGATCAAAATCCAGTTAACTTAATACAGCTCTCCAGTCTATACACAAAACAGCAATGAATCAACTAGTGGTATTGTTCATCGATTCTATCACAGATAAAATTCTGGTGAAGGGGTAATGTAGTGTGTCTGCCACTACAATTATTTAATTCCAGTTCACTAGTATATAAGACATGTTAACTCAATTCTACGTTGGGACACCTTTTCATGGATGAAAGTTGACATTGTCGATAACATTTGTCTTTATGTAGCATATATCTATGTAAAAATGTTATAATGATTTAAAATTCTTCTCCATACAGAACACATTGGTATATAAAGAATGGGAATATTTTGTACGTAGTCTGTCACCTCAATTACAATTTCCAAGGGGCCAAATGATTTTAAACTTGCAAATTTTTTTCAAAAAACATGTAGAGGTTAGTTACAAGCGATACCCTTTGAGTTGGTCCCCCTTTCTGCTTTTTTTTTCAGTTTTTTTTGGGCCACTACTTGAAAATTGTCAAGACTTGGCGATTTTTCTTCCATTGATCACGATACAGAAATCTTTCCCAAAAAATTATTGATAAATACTCTAGATGCAAAACCTGCTGCTTTTAATACAAAGCATGAAGAATATAGCTGCTGTATTAAAAAATTTTGTAAAAAGTTTAGAAATGAGAGCATATTCCTATTGAAGCTAATTGATAGGTTTTATTCATAATTTTTCCGGTTTCACAACTAGATGACTTCAATGTTTATATTATTTAACTTCATGAATTGAAAACATATTAAAAAAACTTTATAATTAAAGAAATACATACTTCAATATATATGTGTAAAAAAGCTGACTTTAGTTGATCATTTATAGGTACCTACATCAGGCATCATTTGGGAAGGCCTCTGTCTCGAACATTATCAAGTCCTCTTGTTGCTCTTAGTCCGATTGGAAGACCTCAGGAAACGCAAGCTCATTCTCCTCATACATTTACAACAGGTACAAACCTCTTTCTTCAAAGAATAACTTTATAAAAATTATATTAAAAACATTCCGGCTACTGCAGAGTAATACTTAAAAGAAAGAAAAACAAGCTATTGAAATCAGATGAATTATTAGCGAATTAGATCAAGGATGGATTAAAATTATAAAAAACCTTGGTTATTTAAGATTGAAGCTGAAAGCTGGTTATTAATGAAGGGCAAGTACATTCCAGTAACTCTATTTAAACTGGCTTTTGATGATTTTAATCCCACCTTCATTCTGATTGAATTTGTAAATGATTTGATAACAAATTTGTTTTTAATCATTTAAGTATTTATTTGCGACCCCTTATTGTTTAAAGTTTTAGCTCTGTTTTTAAAAAAAAAAATACTAAATTTAACTTTTTAACAGGTGTTTTGTACGACAGTTTAATGTTAAAACATCAATGTGTTTGTGGTAACAATGCTCATCATCCTGAACATGGTGGTCGCCTACAAAGTACATGGGCAAGGTTACAGGAAGCCAGTCTTCTTAATAGATGCGAGGTAAGAGCAATTTCGAATATTAAAGAAATCTCATTTATATAAAACAAATAAATACATAATTTTTATTTTTGTCCATTAACATTTTCATAATCTTACAATGCCACATTTTTATACTTATGCAATTATTTAATGATTCGATGCAAAATTAAATGGTGCAACAAATACAGATAACCAAATCCCATGGCTCAAAATAGTCAAAAGATCTCAACTTAATTTTTTGTCAAGTTCACAATATTTGCATTTATTTTCATTTGGTGTTTTTAATAGCCTTTGTCTATACTAAACAAATCTTATCATTGCCAAAAATACAAAAGTAAACTCATTGGATATCTAATCAATCAAATTAGCTCAAGAGAAAATTCTAGTATAGATAAAAATATAAGAAAAGTGTTACCTAAGGAGAATCCACAAATATTAGGAGGTAATATATTAAGAAAGACAAAATGTTCTGTGATAGAACTCAAATTGACTGAGTGTCATAAAAAATAGACTCCTATGAACAAAATACTGGTCAGATTTAAAAAATTGCCTTTATTGAAGAGTTTTGTATTTGGATATTTTTTATTGCATTCTAATTATTACAGTTAACCATATTTTAATTCCTCAAAAGTATCCTTATGACTTAGTATATGGAAACAAATAGAAAAGTATTAACTTAATAAATAGAAAAATATTAACAAATGTATGCCATTTTAGGGAGGGGCAAATGTAATTATTCATTTTTTTTTAATATATATTTTTTTAATGCTTCCGAAAACAGTTTTACTTTTGCAAGATGCTGAAGAACTTAAGCTTTTTTAGCAACTTCGATGAAAAATATACTAAAGCATTCTTGAACGAAATTTGATAGCTATATTTTAAAATATGTTATTTTTATATGTCTAAAATCTTATATCTCGCTATATGATACATAAACTGTAATGTTAATTTCTTATAATTATAAGCTAATTATTAAATTACTGCAATAACCAGTCATTTATAAATAGCATTTTCCTTTGCCTAAATGAAATAGAATTGTTGAGGTATGTAATCATATAAATTTTTAATTATTTCAAAAAAGGATGTTGTTATGATTTAAAGAAGACTGGAATGAAAGATCATTAGAACTACAGAGGTTATAAGTTTAACAAGCTTATATTAAAAGAATTCAATCACATTGTAAATTTATGAAAGTAGGCAAAATATGGGCAATTACATGTAATTAAATTTCTGTAATACTTAATGACATATATTCTAATTGTAAATATTTTATGTCATAAAATAAATTCATATTCATTCTCAATGTTTAAAAACTTTTAAATTATAACTTTGTTTTATTCTTTCCAGTGATTCAGATCCAGGAAAGAAACCCTAGAAGAAATCCAGTCTTGTCATAGGTATGCTTTGAAAAAACTTTTAATGTGCATTTTTATAACTTATATTAAATCTTAAATTTACAGTTTATTAAAATATTACATTTTCTTTTTGTTTGCTTGTTTAGTGAATCATATACTCTCTTATTTGAGGCCAATCCTTTGAATCGATCGAAACTTGATGCCAGCAAATTAGGTATTAAAATGGTTTTTGTTTTGATAACAGTTTTATGATTATTCATTCATACAAAGATTGAAAAAATTTTTTACGTTATATTAAGACTAGATTACAGTATATGGTGAACACAGAATATGGTGGTACAGAAACTAAACAGTTCATTGTTGTAAATACTTTTTTTTATCAGTTTTTAAATTTCATTGAGATATACATTAAGTTTAAATTTTAAAATAAAAAGAACCAAATCATCCAATTCTTTTGTCTGTTTCAAGCAATTTCTTGTTCATATTTAATTTTAATTAACTTAACAAGATAAAAAATTGAATGAAAGATAATCATGAAGTTGGAACTTTATTATTTAAGCACTGTTTTACTTCTCTAATAACATTCTGTATCGGCAAACTATATGAGTTTGAAATATAAATCTTTTCTTTTTTTAATAAAGAACTACTTAACTTCTAACTGCATTGAAATACATTTCTCAGTTTAAATAGGTATAAAATTAAAGATTTTTAATTTAAGAAACTGAATAATATAATTATTTTATTTAATTGAAATTATTGTTTGTAACCCTTTTAATTTAAAATGGAAATTTTAAAAAAATGTTTAAAATCTAATTTTAATGTAATTTGAAACTTTTCTTTTACTTCAAATGACTTTTATAAGTTTATAATTTAATGATAATAGTAATTAAAAATAAAAGTTTAATATTTAATCAATTGCAGCTGATCTTCCAATGAAGAATTTTGTGATGTTCCCTTGTGGTGGCATTGGTGTAGATTCTGACACAACTTGAAATGATCTACGCACAGCAAGTCCTGCAAGAATGGCTACTGGATGTGTTGTTGAATTGGCCATGAAAGTAGCAACAGATG